GTAGGTCATTATTTGAGTATCTTCGAGTTCTTCGTCGGTCATGTTCCCAGCATTCTGAACTTTTTGCTCTAAGGCATAAGAAAAATTTTTGTGAATGTGTAAAGCACCTGTAACTTTTCCTCTTTTTATATCATGGATTGCGCTATCAATATCATTGTAATAAATCTGAAATTAATAAAAATGAAATCGAATCAAAATTTAAAAAAAAATTTATATTATTTACATGGTGCATCATGGAAGTATTGACTGCTTCTAAAAATCGACAACCCAGTCGTTGGTATTCACACAAATCCTCGGATGCGTTGTAAATTGCGGTTTCATTTACCAAATAGTCTTTACAAGGACTAAAATTGTTTTCTTCATTAACTATGGCTATGTTTATGTTTTTAATATCACCACCGACTGCGGTAAGGAACGCGCACATTTGCAGACAAGGGAAGAAAATCATAAACATCAATCCGCTAAAGAAACATTCGAATTTGAATAGTCATAATTCAATTGTTAAAAACAAAAAAATAATTGAATGTTGTTTTTTGTTTTGTTTTTGTTTCTTTTACTTTTACCTTACGTTCCTATGGAATTGTTTCCAATTCTTATCAAAAAGTGCTTTCAATCGGAAAGTATTGAACAATTTTGGAGCGACATATTTCTTTTTTCTTTTCTGTGACACCAGCTGGAAATAATTTTGTTTATCTCTTTTAACATAAAAACAAATCTAATGACAATTTCATACATTTGTTGAACTAACTCCTATAGAATTTATAGAGTTCGCCTCAGAATCCGCAGGATAAATTCCGTTTATATCATGATTATTTAAATTGTTTTGGAACTGTTCCAATTTCCCTTCCGATTGTTTCTGGCTTAAAATTAAAAACACTTCTTCCAACGTTTCGGTACCGAAATCCCTCAACAATTTCGAGGGAGATTCTTCCGCCAATAGTCTCCCTTCTCTCATCAGACCAATCTAAATGTTATTATTGCTATTGAAAAATGATCTCGCATTTTTTTTTATAAATTAATTTAATTACTTAGCTTATTTTTCAAATTTAATTACACTAAGTACGGTAAATTCATTTACCTACTTAATTATTATGTAAATTTTTCGTAGTTAATTGCTCTTAAAAATAAAAAATCGTTTTCAAAAGTTTCCATACACTGTAATGCCTGTGCATATATGTATATTGTGACGTATTCAACATTTATTTCATTGCTAATTAATTATCTCTGATTATCGAATGGTAATGACAAAAAACTATCGCGTATGATATGTACCTATAATAAGTAAAATAAAAGTTTCAATTATGAATTTTTCGTAGTTAATTGCTCTTAAAAATAAAAAATCGTTTTCAAAAGTTTCCATACACTGTAATGCCTGTGCATATATGTATATTGTGACGTATTCAACATTTATTTCATTGCTAATTAATTATCTCTGATTATCGAATGGTAATGACAAAAAACTATCGCGTATGATATGTACCTATAATAAGTAAAATAAAAGTTTCAATTATGAATTGTTAATAGAAACCATTTGCATATGCAGTAATTTTTACAATTTTTTTTGCTCCAACAGCTGCAACAACTCGTCTACCTCCGCTTTAAGGCATAAAAACACTTGTAATCCATTGTTATCGTGGGACATAATTCAAAGCATTAAAATTATCCTTTGTTACTTGTAACTATTAAATTATCTCAAACAGATCATTATTTCTACTCAACGTAGAGCATTTACATATGCAAATAAATTGAACTATTTAATTTTTGCGATAGTAATCATTCTACTAATTTAATATGATTCAAATTCAATTGTTTCATCTCAATATTTGTGAAGAACTGTTATTCTTTTGCATTTGTTTTTCATTGAAAACATTTGTTTAATGATCGTTCCATTTTTTTTTGTTGCACTTTGACCAGGAACGTATTTCTCCTTTCGAAACATTTTGCAAAAAAAAGGCATTGCAGTTGCTCCACGGTGCATGAATCATTTAAACTTGATGGAATTGTTATAAATTATTTATTATTGTTTTAGCTACTTTATACTATATTCTTTAAGCATTTGCAAAGTTTTTATAATTTGTTGCAAATTACTTATTCTTTGTGTTTGCTTACCTTGTGGGCCTGTCTTGTCTCTTCGATATAATGAGTGGTTATAATTATCGTCACTTGCCTATCTTCGGCTAATTCGACTAAATAATTCCAAATTCTATTTTAAATAAATAATAGACGCAGTTAAAAAGTTGAAACAAGGAAAAATTTAAACAAACGACAACTACAATTGCTTTTTATAAAACAAAAGATACTGTCTTAATTACGCAGATGTAATTGTTTTTTTCAGTAAGATAGATAAACTTCTTTGGAATTAATTTAAAATTTAAACTAGTAAATACCTAATTAGGTAGACAGGTACTATATAATTATCATATAATTTGATTACGATGTTTAAAATTAAATTAAATTAGATACTCTAACGCTTAATTTTCTAACACACACATTAAAAAACAAATAATTTTTAAAATATTATGACCTGTCTCGTAAAACTGGATCTAATCCAACTGTGGGTTCGTCTAAAATAAGAAGTTGGGGGTTGTTTAATAATGCCACGGCAAATGACACCCTCCTCTGCTGTCCCCCACTGCAATCACCTACATATCTGCAATGCATTACGACTTTTTTCTTGAAGTTATTCTAAGCATTTTACGCGTAATATGCACATAGTCAAGGTTAAAAAGAAAAAAAAGGCAGGTAATATTATCTGGATAAATTGTTAGAGTAATTAAGTAACAAACCTGTTGAAAATTGGTAACGATTGGAAAAGGAATTACGTACATCTTGCGAGAAGAACAAATGCGGCAATATTTCTCTTACCTGTTTTGGGGTGGTAAATCTAACAAAACTGTTAATTCATTAAGACGACTTTCTATATCTTTGTCTTGCATTCGAAACACCCTACCAAAATAAAAAAGGGCGTCGCGTATTGTAAACTCTGCCACTAAAGCTACGTCCTGCAATTTGAAATGTTTTTCCCTTAATATAACTATGGATAGAATTCATCAAGCNAAATTTATCAATTGTATATTAAAAAAATAAAAGCCTATAATGCTAATTCGAATAATTTTTTTAATTTTTGCGGGCCAATAGCACTGTACATTAATATTGTAGGTAGCTGTACATGAAATACGTATCTATTGTAAATACGTTTGAACTTGAACTCAATAGTTAAATGACAGTTAAGTGTAGTTAACCTATCTTTTGTTTCGTTTAAAAGCCGTTTTTAAATGGAGGAATTTTTAAAAATTGACTGGTTAGTTATTGAAATATCCTTTTTTTTACAACTTAATTATCAGTTTAATTAACATTTAATCAGTTTAATTAACATTTAAGGCCACCTAAGGAAACACCTCAGCCAGAAAGTGTCTTTGTTTCTGAGCAATTTATGCAAGGATCTTATGTTTTTAATGATTTATCTTCTGATTCTTCAGACTCTGAACATACAGAAAGTTTAAATGATTCAAATTATACTCCTGGAAAAGTGTATTTTGTTCAGGGAAAACATTCCTCAAAATTGAGTAAGAAGGAACACTTTGAATGTCTTCATGCCTTGAAAATTTTACAAGCAAAGTCTACGAAAAAATCATCAATAAGTCCTTATGATCAACTGTGTATTACAACCTATAATGTAAGTATGTGATAGTTTTGAATTGTTTAAGTAGTTTCTTTATAAAACCACATTAAGGGCCTAAGAAGTACAATTATAGAAGAAAACAGCTTGTTTCTAAAGCATGCTCAAAAGCAGTGGAAGTACACAAATTTAATACCTATTGAGAAGTATATGTTCATTGTAAATCTGTGGAAGCAGCAACTACGTAGATGTTTAGCATACAAGAGATATTACAAAGGATGCGACAATTTGTCCTTGGCTTGTTTTGAAGATGAAGATTATGTAGAAGTAGTTCATTTGAAAAATGTCCTTGAATTGGTATTTTTTACTTTTATTATGTTTTTATTGTCTTTTTAAATATTATTTTTTAGGGACATTTAGCAAAATTTACCCCTCCAATGATAAAAAGTAAATGTTTTCTAAACATAAACTTTTCAGATGAAGACACCATGTTTACTTTAAATTCTAAATTGCCAGGTAATTAGTTTTAGAGTTTATTTTCAATCAAGTGTGTATGGTTAATTAAATGTTGCAGTTAGTCAAGACAGAAATATTTCAAAATTAGCACAACATAATGCTTTTCAATTAGTTATTTCATCTAGTGCTTTAAAAAGACTGATGGATTGTGACAATTGGAACTACGATTGGGATATACCTGTTATAATTAAGACAGAGAGGGGTAAGAAAATTGTATTTGTAGACAAGACATTACCTCAAAAGGCACCAACAGTAAGACAACTAAATGAGAAATTATATAAAAATGGGCTCAAAGCAAATTTTTGTTATTTTAAAATGCTAAGGTAAAGCCTTATTATTATTTTATTTTAATAAATTAGAATAAGAAAATACAAATATTGCAGACCAACATATATTTTAGTTTTGAACATATTGAAGAAATAATTCCCGATCCAACTTCACACGAAACTAAAGAATTGTCTGATGTGATCAATTTTGATGAAAGAGGTAATTGTACTATATATTTTTAAACTATAATGCCTAAGAAGCACATTTTTTTAGACGATAAAGAAGAAATTTCAAATATNTGTTAATTCATTAAGACGACTTTCTATATCTTTGTCTTGCATTCGAAACACCCTACCAAAATAAAAAAGGGCGTCGCGTATTGTAAACTCTGCCACTAAAGCTACATCCTGCAATTTGAAATGTTTTTCCCTTAATTTAACTATGGATAGAATTCATCAAGCTTTAATTTTTATCCATTATGTATCATTACTTTCATGTATAGTACAGATAAGGTGAAAAAATATATGTTTATTACAATTTAATCGTAAAAAAAAATAATTCTTTTTAACAGAACAGATTTTTGATTAGATGTAGATTAGATGTTGTTTTAGAATAATAACTGTATAATAAAATTATACCTGGGGCATATATCCTATTTTCGGGCCAGGTACTTTGCTGCCGGGAGTTCCCGGTGTCCCTCCTAAAACCCATACTTCCCCCGATTCGATTTTTTTTCTTCCTACTATACAACTAAGTAAAGTCGTTTTTCCACAACCACTAGCTCCTAACAACCCATAACTATTAAAGGGTATGCGTTAGTTGTGGTGATTTTCAGAGAAATACAATTAAAAAACTAATAAAATTAATAATAAAACTTTACAGAGTTAGTGTTTTGTTTCGAGAAAAACAGATATTGACTAAATAATTGAAACAATTGGTAGGATATAGACAAACAATATCTAATTGATTTTGTTTTTATTTGTTCTTTCATTCAAATGTTTATTTTTAAATAAGTATAACAAAATTTTGCGTTTTGATGCAAATACTGTTGTTCATTAGTGAAGCAGATCGGGTGCAATTAAATAATATGCTTGATTCTAGGTAAAAAATAAGGTGTTTAATGTATATTGTAACCGTAGAAAGGATAGCAGTAAATGTTTTTAACAAGGTCAAACTATTTGCAAGTGCAAGTCCATTAGTTCTATCTTGAACATTATCCATGAAAAGGTGCATGGATAATAAATATAGAAAGGATTTAATGAGCTATTATCTAATTATTTAGTTGTCTTGACTCATCTATCGTGAAGGTGTTTAATTATGACGATGAATTAAAAAAATAATGAAATGGACGAATTCTCAATGAAATTTTTCAAAACTTGATGCTTAAATAAAATTTTAATAAATCAATTATTATAACGAAGTAATAATATGAGATATACTTAATAATTGTTTACATCTCCCTATAAATGCGAGGGGGTTGATTATATGTTATTATTTATTAACTTAAAAACTTACATGACTCCTTTAGGAACAGTCATAGAAAAATTATTTAACACTTGTTTAGCCCCATAACTCTTACATGCATGCTTCACATAAACACATGTGTTTTCTTTATCCATTTTTGAAACGTTTTTAAAAAAATTAATAATTATGAACCAGAACCTCTAAAAAAAACTGGAAAATAACAATCCAATTAATATTTGTTTTTTTTTCTCTTTGGGAGTGTAATGT